GTGATATCCACGACAGTCCTTAGTTGAACGTTGTTGTGTAGTGTTATTAGAAAGTGTATGTTTCTCATTCAAAATGCCAGAAGTATCGCAGGATTTGTACGAGATGAAAAATACAATGGTAATTATCATACTTTTCAAAAATAACTTTATCAGTACTCTGATCTATACGATAATAAAAAGCTTTGCGATTACAAACTTATGGCAAAGGTTAACGTCGCGTTATTTTATTGATTGCGTAATGTATGATTATGATACGGCGGTAATTCGTATTAGGGAAGCTAAATATTGCTACAGGTTATTCCAAACATACAGAAAAATAAGTTTAACGTATATACGATTTGACCAATTTTTATCAAACGGGCGAATTAGTCTTTACTAATATTATATATTAGAAAGCGTGGATGTTTGTTAATCAATCTCGCCAACATGTTTGAATAGATTCGGATGAAATTTGGTACAGAGATAAGATTATATTCTGGAATAGCACGTAGGCTGCCTTTTATCTTGGGAACTAACTTTGAAATATCTACGAGTATTTCATGACAGCCCAAACAACGTAATGGAATTTGAAATGAGCTGTCTGTCGCGAAACCGTTCAGTCGCTGGTCCGACCGTAATGGGTAAGGGTATAAACATATTTCGACATTCGTTTTCTTAGCGTGGTTATCTTGATTTAGATTTGTTTCTTGTTTTGTTTTACTTCAAGTACAATTGATAACGTTTCCCAGCTATAAATTATTAAGTATACAAATTTTTACGTCTATACAGATAAGGTATACAGATATGGGTGACATATGCTCGGCTTTTTGGTACAATCTAAATAAGCACTTATAAAGAAATTTTGAAAATTCCACCCCTAAGAGAGTAAAGTGGCATTCACATTCAAGTTTTTGTAGAAAATGTAGAATATTTCAAATTAATCCACACTACAAGTAGGAGTATGTTTTGTCTTCAATTATTTTATAGATTTTTAAGTGGATAGAGGTGTCATCTAACAAAATCATTGTATTAACAAAGAGTTTCAGAAGAAGTTATATCCTCAAGATGGGGTAGGAGGTTGAATACTTTTATGGGTAACCTTATCACTTTTCAAGTTTATAGAAACTCGAACACTATTTGGCACCTGAAGATAAAATTTGGCAGAGAGGTAGTCAGGACATGTCAGCTGAGAACAAATTTTTACACAGGGCTGGATCACGGGGGTTAAGAGCATATATATGCTCTCTCTCTCTATATATATACAGGGTGTCTGCAAAGTTGGGGTTTTCCTTTACACGACGTGTAGATCTTGAACACATAAGCAATTTTTCTTAGTACCATATACACCAATGTCTTAAGGGAACCGAGATAAAGGGCTCTGCAACATCAAAAATATCTGAATACCGTCCTGTAGCCGCGACATCACCGACTGGTACAAGGTCACTGACTCAACCCGACGACAGAACTGGGTCGGGGTCAGTGTGTCAGGTCAGTATGCAACCTTCAACCGACGGTTACGGTCACGCGTGTAGAGGTAATCGCGTAGACGAGAATCCCTCAACAAGCACTAGACACGTGGATAGAGAAGTGCAAGTATCCAAAAAATCAAGGTGTGGCAAACGCTGCGTGAAGAGGGACTGTATCCGTTTCACGTCCAACGTGTACAAGCCCTTCAGCCAACCTGACGATTTTCCAGCGAGAGTGCGGTTTTGTGAGTGTTTGTTGCATCAACATGAAAATAATCCGGACTTTTTGAAGTGCATATTGGTGACAGACGAATCTACGTTCACGCGTAATGGGGTGAATAACTTTCGCAACACTCATGTTTGGTCAGTAGAAAATCCGCACGCTGTACGTCGGGCACATTTTCAACAAACATTTTCGGTGAATGTTTGGGCTGGCATGGTGAACGGTATGCTCATTGGACCATTTATTCTCCCAAATCGATTGAACGGGATGCAATACCTAGACTTTTTACGCAACATTTTGCCTTCCTTGTTAGAAGATGTGCCATTAAGTGTAAGACAATCAATATGGTTTCTGCGTCTGCTCGGTAGCGCATCAGCTGATTTCATTTTCTGTTGGAGCGGTATGATATGTATATATATATAAATACAATCGATTGTTAATTGGGAAATTGGCAATTTTTTTTAGGCTTAATTTAACGGTAATCTCGAGCTTTCGAGGTCTCTATGGAGCCATCTTCCGGAGCTGAAAACATATATATGAAGGTAGCAACCAATACGGGAAGGGTTTAAATTATCAGAGAACTTACTCGTCGCTGAGGTTGCAGCCAAATGGTGTTTCAAAACGAAAGCGTGGATAAGAGCACTTGTTACAAATATAAAACCAAAAGGACGGACACATTGGGTTTATTGATAACGACGGAAACCATCGTTAGGTGTTAGAACTATATATCAATACATCCGAACACATTAAAAATTATCGAAAGGCAATTTTGGGGGAAAAAACCTTCTAACCTCCTACATCTGTTTCACGTGGAGAAAATGAGCGAACCGGAAGAGTGATGCGTCGAAAGATGACAGGTGAGTGTCGCGAAGGAATGTGGAAATGTAAACGTCATTGCCAAACTTCAGGTATAGTGTATACAAGGCACGCTCGGTAAAAACTCACCCTATTTCTCAAATTGCTGGATTAAATTTGTTCTGGAAAAAGTGTAATTCATATGAGTGTACGAGTGTAAGATGGTGATACACGCTTGAATTTCTCCGCAAGGTGATATTATCATATTAACGATATTATAATTGTGCAGAAAAGCGGTTTTCATTTTTTTAGCGAAGTAAGTTGTCTGATAATTTAAACCCTTCCCGTATTGGTTGCTAGTTTCATATTTGTGTTTTCAGCTCCTGAAGATGGCACCCTAGTGACGCCGAAAGCTCGAGATTACCGTTAAAAGAGTTTACTAAAGCCTAAGAAAATTTTGCCAATTTCCCAATTAATAATTGATTTTATTAATATATATATACACGAGTATATACAGGGGGGGCCGTAAAGTTGGGGTTTTCCTTTACACGACATGTAAATCTTGAAAACAGAAGCAATTTTTCTTAGTACCATATACACCAATGTCTTAAGGGAACCGAGATAAAGGGCTCTGCAACATCAAAAATATCTGAATACCGTCTTGTAGCCGCGACATCACCGACTGGTACAAGGTCACTGGCTCAACCCGACGACAGAACTGGGTCGGGGTCAGTGTGTCAGGTCAGTATGCAACCTTCAACCGACGGTTACGGTCACGCTTGTAGAGGTAATCGCGTAGACGAGAATCCCTCAACAAGCACTAGAGACGTGGCTAGAGAAGTGCAAGTATCCAAAAAATTAAGGTGTGGCAAATGCTGCGTGAAGAGGGGCTGTATCCGTTTCACGTCCAACGTGTACAAGCACTTCAACCTGACGATTTTCCAGCAAGAGTGCGGTTTTGTGAGTGGTTGTTGCATCAACATGACAATAATCCGGACTTTTTGAAGTGCATATTGGTGACAGACGAATCTACGTTCACGCGTAATGGGGTGAATAACTTTCGCAACACTCATGTTTGGTCAGTAGAAAATCCGCACGCTGTCCGTCGGGCACATTTTCAACAAACATTTTCGGTGAATGTTTGGGCTGACATGGTGAACGGTATGCTCATTGGACCATTTATTCTCCCAAATCGATTGGACGGGATGCAATACCTAGACTTTTTACGCAACATTTTGCCTTCCTTGTTAGAAGATGTGCCATTAAGTGTAAGACAATCAATGTGGTTTCTGCGTCTGCTCGGTAGCGCATCAGCTGATTTCATTTTCTGTTGGAGCGGTATGATATGGGGCAGAGACGTACTTAGCCCTTCTCGTCAACTGGAGAGTGAGTACTTTTTCCTTTATCTTTTTTTTACTTGGTCGCCCTCGTTTCACTAAACATTACCTTTGTTATTTCAAGGGTAGTTGTTTCTGAAAAGGAAAACCCCAACTTTGCGGACACCCTGTATTATATATATATGCAAAAAGATGCTCGCTCATTAGTAATTAAATTTTGAAAACTATTTAGCCTATGAACATTAAATTTCGCAGAGAGGCGATTTGTGTACAATATATGTCAGCTAAGAATAGATTTTAAAACAGGGCCGGAATAAGGTTGGTAAGGGCAGACACATAAAAGAGAAGTGATACACGAAATCTCGAAAAATATTCGACCTATGAACATGAAATTTCTTGGGGAGGTAGACTATGGACAGGACGTGTCAGAGAGGAACGGATTTCACAAGGCCGGATTGAGGGAGCTAATCGCTTGTTTTGGATTGGTCACCCCCACGATCAGCCCTCCGTAACTTTCAAACAGATCAACCAATTTTCATTGAACATAGTTAACTATCTCGACATACAAGGTTTTCGATTAAAAAAAACGCAGTCAATTGGTTCGTCCGCTTGGCTGTTTTTACATCGGGGATTAAAATCTATATTTCATAATTTTAAATCGATATTTCATATGTTACACGTGTTGTGCTGAAGACAGAAATATTTTGGTAAAAATATGATATTAAAATTTCATGAGTGAACAGAGGCGGATTTAGAGGAAGGTGGGAGGCGCCCTCTCCCCAGATACTCAAGTCTGCCAGTTTTTTGATCTCTTTAAAAAAATATGGTGCATAACAAATGCCTCTGGATACATAGTACATGTACCCCAAATTTCAATAAAATATTTAAGATGCCCCCGCTCCTTTAGACATAATTCTAAAGTCGCCATAGGAACTAAAAAAAAAAAAAAAAATACGATGTACAAGAAATTACCATTAACGGCTATTTTACTTTATTAGTTTTATCGTGAGCATTTAAAGCTGTATTCAATGAGAGAATACTTATTAATTATACGTCACAACTTTTTTTAATACTTAATATTCAGACCTAATATACTCTGTAGTATTAGATCATTAGATGTTTTGTTTGTAACTATGTATAGATCAGAGTATATACATATTGAGTTCCACGAGATTATGTTACCTATTAATGTATCTGTAGGGATCTCACAAATCTTATAGAAGGGAAGAATCAGAAGTAGAAGATGGCCTATTTGGCAGCACTGCAAGGGGACCAGTCTTGGGATACAAAAGGAAATTGGGCCATAGGTGATTATTTTTTTTTCATTTCTCATCAAATTATCAAACACCGTGAAAAGAACTGAACTGCTTTTAGCTCGGTATAAATGTAGCGTTTTTTAAACATTTTATCAGTTTGGCAACGCCGCTTCAGTACATGCAGAGTGATCTATGGGCGTAACGCGTGAGAAGTTTGCTGTTTTGAATCAAAATACGTAAGATTTGACTAATTTTTATCGTATCATATCAGTACGCGATGATTTTCGTTCTTCCTTGAGGCGGAGTACGACAGCGGATTTCACGTCTAAAAAAATGCGTAGAAAAGAGTGGCGACTGTGGAGAAAAATAGCTTGAACATCAACCTTTTCAATGGTGCATTGATTTTTTCAAATAAAAAATTGGGAGTCTTATTTTTGAAACAACCCTCGTATAATGCAGAAGGTCAATGGTGCCGACCGGCTGATTATAAAGAAATTCCGCGAAGTGTCTTCTCTAGATATAAATACTCTTTGGTATAACCTTGTGCTCTTAGCCTACTTATTTTACTCATTCCTTGCTGTATGAACTATTACTTGCTATTACCAGAATATCCGTAAAAAAGCTCCAGCTGTTTTACGAAAAGTATATTTCGGTATGAAAGTGTTATAAATAGCTCAGAAACTCCCACGTCGTGACAATCTTCGTAATACCTACGCAGCGTGGTGCTCTGGAAATGGGAAAACTTGCAAAGCACCGCGGCACGGCGTGTCTTGTTTTGGCCCGCGTCCAAACACTTCGTTCTACTCTTAACCGATCGATATTTTCGCGTTCGGAATGGAGTGAGAGCCGATTGCATTTTGGGATTGGGAAATGTTGTAGTCGAGGTCGAGTGTTAAAGACGTCTGTAGGCAATTAGTCCATTTCCTGCCCTACTGGTAGTTACCGACCATGTGGCAACGTTGTCCCTCTCCACATCTGTGCGGCATCGCAGCAGCGAGTTATGTTTCGTTTCGTGCAAGGCCCGTATGTTTTTTGCGCTTCAGTACGGATGCATAAGGGTGTTTCAGTTTATTGTTGCATAACTTTAAGATTCGATAGAACTTTTAAAATTAATGCATAAAGTCTATATAAACACGGGTCGATAAATGCGTGGCTTCCGAAATACAGGGTGTTTAAATTTACTTTCTAAAATAGTTTTTTTAAAATATTTCGAACAATATTTGATGTATAACAGTGAAAATTGGTATACAAGGGTTTTTTGGTACGACAAAACGAACCATGGGCATAGTTTTACTGTAGCCGCTAGAGGGCGCTCTCTACTGTACCTGTAGTGTATTAAAATGACCGAAAATTTTTTCTTAGTGCAATTTTTTGCTTTTTGAATAAAAAAACTGATTCTTCGCACTTTTCAACATAAAAAAGCTATCCTGTGAGTTTTCGTTATAGTTAGCCGTTTTTGAGATATTTCGATTTTTAAGGTTCGATGCATTTTTAATGATTTATCTGAAAATAATATTTTTTTTTACATTTTAGATTTGGGCATTACAAGTAATTAAGATGATCGTTTAGATTGTTTTTCTAAACACAGCAATTATTCCTAACTCCAAATAAACACAAAAAAACAGAATATTAATTTGTTTAATTTTCCAATATTATTTTTGACAAATTAAATTAATTATTTACAACTAAAATGCTATTGGATAGTTAGGACAAACATACAAAATCTAAAGTAGTTGCTCGAAATGTAAACCCAATTGTTCAATACACAATTCACATCTACGAATGATTATTTCATCACATGCATTCCTGATTCTGTCTATTAGCATATCTCTTGTGGTACACTTTTTCTTTTAGAAATCCCCACACAAAGAAATCTAATGGATTTAGGTCAGAGGATCGTGGAGGCCAGGCGACTGGTCCTCCACGGCCGATCCATCTTTCTGGATAATTTTCGTCCAGCCAGTTTCTAACTATTCTCGAATAATGAGCTGGACAACCATCAAGCTGGAACCAAGCCAATCTTCTTAAATCTAACATAACATCATCCCACATATTTGCATGTTCAGCCTTTAAAAATTCCAAGAAGGTCGCAGCATTTAACCTTGCAGGCAAAAGGTAGGGTCCAAATAGTCGATTGCGGTAGATACCAATCCACACGATCACACTAAATTCATGCTGAAAATTTCTTTCCCGAACTGCATGCGGATTTTCATGCGACCAAATATGTTGATTATGAAAATTTACCACTCCACGTCTAGTGAAGCATGACTCATCGGTCCATAAAACGTTACTTAAAAACTCCCTATTATTATCAGTTCTATCAAGAATCCACTGACAAAATGTGATTCTTCGTTCTCCGTCCCCTGGCTGTAGTCCTTGCACAGGTTGCAAATGGTAAGGACGTCTATGGTCATTTCTAAGAACACGGTGAACATGGCTTGCTGAAATTCCCAAGGCACCAGAAACTCTCCTAACACTTGTGGTCGGATCTCTATCAAACTCACGCAGAATCATACGGGTAAATCTGCGCTGACGAACATTTATGTTTTGATCCCTTTGGAGATTTCCAAAACCATTTTCAATTATTTGGCGATGCACTCTTACAAATACTGAGCGAGTTGGATGTCGTCTGTTTGGAAATCTTCGTGCGTATTCTCTGGCTGCTTCTGCTGCGTTTCCATTTACAAAGCCATACACAAAATGAATATCCGCTAACTCTTGATTGGAGAATAAAAATGCCATTTTTATGAAACAGGTAAAAGAAACTAAATTTCGTGCATTCACAATTGCAAAAAAACGTTTCAGGTTTCAACAGACAACAAAACTAACTGTCAACTAATTGACGGTTAACCTTATTCTGCTTTCAATTTCAAAAATATTTGCAGGCACAGCCTACTTCTAAAAATTATCGAGATACTGACTTTTTAACGTTAATTTAACATAAATAATTAAAAATGCATCGAACCTTAAAAATCGAAATATCTCAAAAACGGCTAACTATAACGAAAATTCACAAGAAAGCTTTTTTATGTTGAAACGTGCGAAGAATCAGTTTTTTTATTCAAAAAGCAAAAAATTGACTAAAAAAAATTTTTCGGTTATTTTAATACACTACAGGTACAGTAGAGAGGGCCCTCTAGCGGCTACAGTAAAACTATGCCCATGGTTCGTTTTGTCGTACCAAAAAACCCTTGTTTACCAATTTTCACTGTTATACATCAAATATTGTTCGAAATATTTAAAAAGAACTATTTGAGAAAGTAAATTTAAACACCCTGTATTTCGGAAGCCACGCATTTTTCGACCCATGTTTATATAGACTTTATGCATTAATTTTAAAAGTTCTATCGAATCTTAAAGTTATGCAACAATAAACTGAAACACCCTGTATACAAGCCGGACTGGTTCGCCAGATGGTGCGCTTTGATAGACACGAGGAAGCGGATCAGAAACATGTCTCTATCATTTTAAGTTTGAAAGGCAAAGGTACGGCAAAAAATTGAGATATACCACTTACAACTTACTTATTTACTTAATCCGTTCTTCTTCTACCCGATCTAGCCACTGTAGAGGTTCCCTTCGCAACACTCAATTTAATATACTACACAAAAAATCTTCTGAAACGTCATAAAAACGAAGTATGAGCGTTTTTTTATTTTTTTTGCCCCTAGATTCGCCGTCATAGGCCCGATTAACAAAATTTTTCTCGTTCGAAATAGGGTGAGAGGAAGTGTTGTAGTCGAGGTTGAGCATACAAGATGTGGGTAGGCAAGGGTAACTCGCTGCTTTAATTCATAACTAGCTCAAATCCGTTTTAACGATTTCGTGTTTTTTACATCAGACGATAGATTGAGAAGAAGAAATATAAGTTGAGAGATCTGGTGTGGTTGTGATGTTTGGCCTTTCAGAGAAGCATTGCAGATGTGTGGTTGACATTCTCTCTGGCCGCAAGAGATCTGTCGTAATTGACGGGTTCTCCTCTTTATCCCAAAACGGCAACGCGGGTGTTCCCCAGCGATCGGTCTTGGCTCAGACATTGTCCTCTTACATATCAACGACCTCCTTTCCGGCACGATCAACCCAATCCGCAGCTGTGCGGATTCACAGCATTCTACACGCAGGAATTCAGTGACAAGCCGGCTCTGCTGGTGGGCTGGAGAACCGAAGACTAGCAGTTACTTCCTCTTTGACGAGAGACCTGAAGGTTATCTCTGCTTTGGGACGCAACAGTCTCGTACAACTTGCTGCTAAAACCCAGTACTAACCAGAAGCGTCCTAGCGGGTGGCCGAGTTTTACCAAAGAGCCGTTCATTTCGGCTTGTCGGAGACCAGATCACCGAGAACTTGATCTGGCTCGAACATTTGGTTAAGGCTTTTCTCCTCATGACCTCATCACTATACAAGCTCTGGAAAAGACGTAGCTTCGAGTACTGCTCACATGTTTGGGGTGTTGCCGCCCCGACTATACAGTATGCTGCTGTCTGACAGACCGGTAACTTTTATATAACGGACAGCCTCGGCACACTTTCACACCGGCGGGCCATACGCGATCTAGCTCTCTTCTACCTGTACGCCAACGGGCTTTGCTCCTCAGAGCTCTCCTCCAGGATGCTACCGCGCGATGTACCTGCAAGACACACTCCCCTGACTTTCGCCTCCCGTTCTAACAGTGTCGAACTTCATACATCCAGAACAGGCCGATAAGACCGCTCCTTTGTTCCTAGGGTGTCGAGATTGTGGAACAATCTGCATGAGGAGGCTTTTCCCAGGTCTACTAATCTGAGGCAATTCAAAAATCGGAGTAACAAAGTTTCTTTAAGCGCCTCATATGAAGTTACGATGCCCTGGCATTTAGGCTTCTGCCTGCGTGGCTGATTCGTTGTAAAAAAAATTAGTAACGGATAAGCAAACAAATTATTTGCACGAAGAAGTTTGATGTGGATATTCGGGTGGTTTATAAAACATTTTTTTTTAGTTTCTCTTTCTCTTTCTTCTTTCGGCACCATAATAGAATATCCTTCAATTTTTTTCAAATTTTTAGATAATGTTCG